TGAAATAGTAACGAAGAGATCTATTTTGTCTTTTGCACACAAGTTGTTTGACCCCATAGGTATAACTTGTCCTGCTACTCTCTTGCCTAAGATATTGCTGCAGAAAACGTGGGAAAGTAAAATTGGATGGGATGACAAGGTTTCAGAAGAGATAAAACTTTTGTTTTTAGATTGGGCAAAGCAACTTGAGATTTTTTCAAATTTGAAAATTCCAAGATATTTTGGAAATGAAATCGGAGGGAATATTTCTTGGACAGTTCACTGTTTTTGTGATGCAAGCCAAAAGGTGAGGGGTGAATCTAATGGACATACCACAGTTCAATTAGTTCAAGCGAAGAGTAGAGTTGCACCTGTCAAGAAGATGACTATTCCTCGACTGGAGTTATTGGCGGCTACCATTGGCGCTCGTCTAACTGACAATGTCTTAAAGAGTTTGGGATTTGAAAATGTCAAAACATTTTATTGGACCGGTTCAACCACCGTTTTGTCATGGATTCGTCGAGAAGATTACTGGGGAGTGTTTGTTTGGTAGAATTTTACTATGATTGAGTAACTTTTCTTTTGTGAATAATTAAATTATTTTCTGCCCAGTATACAGTCTATTTCTCTTTCCATTTTTGACTTTTAACAGTATATATACATATTTACACCATTGCCTTTACCGTACTTCTGTTGCTGTAGACAGTGTGTTGTTGTGTGGGTTAGGAATATTTTTGAAGGAATTTGGGATTATCTTATGTTTAAGTTGGATGGAGCTTGTGAATTGGTAACAAATTGATAAGCCAATTCTAATCATCTAAGCATGGAGCTATTGCATTGGTTTTTTGGAAGGGATTTCAAAACTTTAGTTGTATAGCAACTGGCAAATTGGAGGTTGTGGGTTAGGACATGTTGTTCTATGAGTTTTTCATTGTTAGTTTTATTTAACGTCGTGACAGTGTTCATTATTTTACTAATGTTTCTGTCGTTAGGCCAATGTATGGAGCCAGGGCTTTGGGTGCATTACAATAGATAAATCAGGTTTTCTGAGCTACAGGTAAAGTGTCCTTTGATTTTGTACTGTTTATTGTGGAAAGAGCTGGAGAAAGTTTGTGCTGGTTTGTGAATGTTGCAGGATTTGCACCTTTTATCATTGAAGGAGTTACGTTTAATGTTTAGGTTAAAGAACCGGGGTTTAGGTTTTTCTGATGAGGATATTGAAGTGTCCGGTACTGAAGGGTGAAGAAGTAAGTTTTATTTAGATTTAGTGGTTGTCTTTATACTAGGGTTTTGGAGACGATTCTTGGTTAAGCTCAAAGATTCTAGAATTTTGAAACCTGATTTCAGAAGATGGTTCAGAGGTTGTAGGCGAGGGTGGTAGGTAGCAACTTTAGGTGTTAACCTTGGTTGTTAGTATTCTTCTCCTTTCTAGGGATTGTTTTGGGCTGTGTCGCTTGTATTTGGGAATTTATAAGGTTTATGGGGTAGCCTTGGTTTTTAAACGCTTTCTGGAGCTGATTATTGTATATTTTTTATTATTTTCATGGTCATAAATTAGGCGAGTCCCTCTTAAGGCCCTCCTCAGGGTGTATCCTTCCTTTCTCCTTAACTAATTTATCTAGGTGTGATTTACAAACCTTAACAAGTCAAAACTCGTAACGGTCAATACTCCCGAGTGGTGAAATATTTTTGGAGGTTGTAAAACAAACATTTATTGGTTTACAGACAATATTTTTGTTTATTTTCCATATTTTTAATGTTTAATAAAAAAATCTAAACTTCATCACACATCCCATGTACATACAGTTTAACTTTGTTTGCATACATAGATTGTGTTTTGAACCCACGGACGGAACAGTTTGGGATAATATTTGCCTGTAACGAATAAATACCTTTGACTATTGAGAGGAATAGACAACTCATTTTATGTTAAAGCTGTAGCCAGGTTTTGGAATAATAAAATAAACATAACTGAACTGCACCGCAGACTGATGTCAATTACTGATTTATGAAGAATACTACAATATTATAACTCTTTGCGTAACTGAGTGGTTATAGTGCTCGCTTTCAAATCTGAAGGTCCTTCCGAGTGAGATAATTTCTTTACCCAAATACCATTTGTCATTGGGCAATCAATTAGTGATGCTATCTAACAAAAGATTGACGTTAGATGGTAACAAGACCAAAGTTTGGACAGTTCCCACAAAAAACCTTAAAAAATACCAATGAAAAAGAAATACACAAATAAATCCAAAACTAAGTGAGGGGATAGAATTTTAATTTTGAAAGCAGCACAATCTATGGGTGGCTCATTCAACATGTTCTACTTAAATAAAATGTTGGCTTCGGCTGGTCCTTAAAGACAGGATGTCTACTCCAGTTAGTACTTGGCTTGTGTAACAAAGTTTGCAAACGAGCGGCAAATTATGGAGGAAAGCCTCAGTCAGAGGGTCAGAGTTGATAATCTAATCAGAGTAAGAAGACAACTGGAAAACTAGGGAAAGTTTCATACGTAAGGTTATGGAAGAAAAGGCTGTTGAACTAAAACAGTAAAAAAAAAAAACATTCTAGCCATGAAGTAATGCTGAAAGGTGATCACATGTCTAGTTTACAGGGGCAGAGGATAAAGGGGTTGTTTTTAGTGGGTCACCTGGAAGAGTTGTAAAGAGGCAACCCCACATACCCTTAGTGTGCGGTACCATTAAAGCAAATGCAAGCAGATTTTTTTACCCTCTCGAAAAAAAAGAGAAAAAAACATCAGAAAAAGTATACTGTATTTCAAAAGCCAAAAACATACTGATTAATGAAGGTTTGAATGTTTAACACTGAAACATTCTTTAAATTTGCATCTAATTGAACTATACAGTAAGTGTTTTTATAGTCTGTTTGGTCACAGTTAGGTTCTCCAAACTTAATCTTATTCTAAAAATGCACACTAACTTTATGTTTGATTGTAACACATTCACAAACCCCCCCCCCCCTCCCTACATATGACACACACTAAGAAAGGCAGACAGATTAGCCTATGTTGTGGATTTGCACCCTTGAGACACAAAATGAAAAACACATAATCAGTCTAAGTAATCCTTAAAAGTAGGTCTTAATGGAATATGTAATTATTAGTAATAATAAACAAGCATAGATTTTACTACAGTTTAGACATTAGTGGCTATAGGCTTATGCAATTAATTAATACATTACAGCTAAGCCAACATTGACTAGACACAGTAGATTAGCAGACTATGGATTAAGGAAAGGGAAGAAGTTAAAGCCTACAATAAAAGCCCACCAATAATAAACTTGCATGAATAATAGTTTAAGAGTAACTTTACATAGTTTTATCATAAAAATGATTTGAATTTCTCAAATAAAGCAAATATTAATAAAAAAATATTGGATGAATATTAGTGTTATACTATACACAACAATACATGCAGTACTAAAAGTGAAAACATAATTTAAAAATATATAAAACAAGTTACTTAGAAAAAAACTCTCACTTTTTCTAATACACTAGAAACCCTCATATCCGACCTTAGGTCCTATTAGAAGCTTATATGTATAGAGTATTGCGCACAGCTCGATTTTCAAGCCGAGCTGAGCCTATGAGATTGAGAGATGTAACTATTGCAATGTAATCGTGATTGCAGGCTCATCTGCAAAGATCACGTGATTAAAAATTCAAAATCCCACCGCGCCAACCATATCATCAAGTCTTCAGATATTGCAGGAGACTATGATATTCCTGCAACTACGAGAGATGTTCATAATTTCGCCAAAACTTCGGAGATGATGATAATGTCTACACAACCACGCAACACTATATGATTTTGCCAAGATAAGGGAAGGCAACAATGATGGTAAAACGGCCGCAGTAGATTTTCAGTGTTTTGCCACAAATGTGACTTTCAGTGTACTGTTAACGAAAACACAGTAGAATATCTGATATCCGGCCACTTATTGGAAGTCAACATCAGAACGTTTTTCCCACGGCTTACAGGTGTAGAGCGTATTTTAAATCTGTGTGGCACTTAGCAGCTCACTTCAGAGAGGCCTCTTTTTTCTGATTCCTTGGTGGCTGGAGCTTAGGGAATTTTGAAATCCATGTGGTATTGCTTCAACTCAATGAACTAGACCCTATTTTTTATAATCTCATCAGCCTAGGAGCTTAGATCTAGGAGGCTAAGAGACTAGCTATACATCTTTCCATTTTATTTTTTAGGAATAGTATTAGGGATCTGTGGGCCAGACTATTTCATTGTGGGTCGGATAAAAATGGTGACCTTAACCTTTAGGCCTAGTGCCCAAATCAGGTCAAGTAATATCGAGTTGTTCTGGAAAGTACTGAATACATATTTTTATACTACAATTGGTTTGAACTATTGAAATCGCAGCAAATCATGAACATTATTTTTGGTCACGATGAAACCTTGAGCGTCACCTGCAGCAGCCTTTAGTAAAAAGTAAACCAAAAGAGACATAAACACAGCTATTTGACTACAAATTAATGAGTGCACATAATTATTAGGTATACATTATTTTTTGAATAGATTGGTTTATTTGGCAAAACCGTTATCCATCCAGGGGCTCGGTCCTGTTCTACTGTAGATTCTTGTTAATGTAAGTGGCTCTGGATGTTATCACCTACTTTTAACATGGTCTCTGCAGCAGACTTATAAATAAAATGATTGTATGAGATCACATAATGCCACATGATGCTAAAATACGACATAAATATTGATCGTAGAGTTTTAACCCCATATTTCTAATGAGTTATAAAAAATATAAACAACGATGTCACAACAATCAATGGTGACTGTGAAAACTATGTCACTTTACAATCCAAGCTGATCAAGGTATTAAATATGTCACAATTTAGGATAATTTTTACAGTGTTGGAAATTACTATATACTGACTTCGGGTTTACAAGTACAGTAAGGTTGAACATTAATGAAAAGTTTAGCGGAAGTTCTTATACAGTATGTTCAGCACCAATTATAATTTTATATGAAATACAAACCTTTAAATTGCATACTGAATCATGTACAGGCTTGAACATAAGTTTTGACTGAGGGTATTTCCTGTAGGCTTTGACAAAATCAGTCAGCAACACAACACTACAATGTAACACCTTGTGAACATCTTCCACGCCATTCTCAAAATCTATGGGTAACTTGAGGTCTTCATCTGCTTCATTCCTGAAAAAATTACTCAATAATAACACTAAATATTTTCTTCCATTAGTTTTAAGCTTCTAATCTAAAACCGAACTAAAATAATGCTATGTTCTATCCTTATCTTTAGCCTTAGGGCTGTAAGTTAATGTGTTTATATTTAGCCTGTGCTTGGATTGGTTAGTTTACTGAAAACATTTGATTGAATATCTTAAACAAAATAGTTTATCTGTATTCATATTTTAAACATTAATAGCATTTTTGAAGGTGTTATTATGAGTTAAGTGTTTGAAATACAATTTTACTAGCCATATTATTATAAATATAGGCTACAATTATTAATAATTGTGTTTCACTAAAATGTATTCAAATTACAGTACATTGAACCAATACTGTATGCTATTCACAAATAAATAATATGGCAACCATTTTAACACTTTTTAAGTAGTGATTTATCTAAACTAGGCTGTTGAAAGATGTAAAAATTGAAAATTATAGACAAAACTTGATACCTCACATACAATGCAGCTTAGAAACAGTTTTTTATATTTTTTTACGTACCACCTTCACATTTTAAGACGCTCATTTGGGTCCCAACAATTTATCAACGTATCTGATGAGGTAGAGTATGCAAAGATAAAACTAATGTAGTAGAGATTATTTCTCTCTCCCATGTAATACAAATTAAAGCTCTAAAGATACAGAAATTCCCACTGGAACTCTCACACTTACTCGTTATTCATCTTGGATTTTGTGTTCCCCTGCTTACTTTCACTACTTCTTTGTTTTGAAACAGTTGTTTTTAGACAATTACTTAAATAATATATGGCTTCAGGATAAAGTACTGAGGAATTCCTGGCATCCTGAAAGAATAAAACAGTTAAAAACTATGTAATGCAAACTGGAATAATATAAATTGCAATCCATTAAGCTAACTAGTAACTATAGCTTAAATCAGTTTCATACTCAGAAAAACCTTAACTTACTAACTCAACAATTTGTGGACCCACAGGTTGTATCCAAAACATTTAATTTTTAATAAGTTTTATAAATGAATACATATTGGAACAATTTTCACATATAAAATTATTACTTACATGAGTATTTTTACATATTGAGTGAACAATCTTCAAAGAGATTTTGGATATTCAACAATTAAAACTTGAAAAGTGGAAAAAAATAGTAGGACAAAGCCAGCTAGACATCCCTGTTAGCTGTTGACTGTTGAGTTAGTGAGTTTTTACTTTACTTTTAAAAATAAAAAAATAAAAATGCATTTAGCAACCAAATGATACAAAAATACAATATATATTTTAGACAATAAAGGGATTTAGATTACAACAGACATTTCATTTATGCAACGCTGAAAGACATTCGGAAATTGATAGCACAAAACTGACGAGTGGCATCTTACAAACTATATTTAACCCTAGGACTGCCTTCCAGTCGGCGGTTCGGAAATTTTTTTAACGCTTATTACGCAATGAAAATGATCCAGAAGCGTAATAATTTTGATACCGTTGTAAAGAAGAGATTATTAACAACTTTTGTTTTCATATATAAACGAACCTCGTAGCACTAACAGATCAATATAAATGCTATTATAATTTGTAAAATATTTTGCGCGCGTAAAATTTTTGAGCTGCGATCGACAAAATCTCGTAAAACACGTTATCTTGAAAAAAATCTACAAGTTGTAATTTTGGCCTAAATAGGAAGTGGTTGGTACCATTGGAAAGAACTTGAGTTGTTCTTTATTTTCGTATAGAGAACTTTGTCATACGACGTTAGGAAGTCTGAAAAACATTTGTTTGAAATCAGTTTTGTCAGTTGGCCATTTTTGGCCGTTGGTTTCTAAATTACGAATAAATATGTTGACAATGGACATAGAGTGATGAGAGTCATACCTATTTGAAGCTAAGAAAACGGTCTATCTCTATGTTTTGGTGTCTTTCAATATTGAGATTCAGGTGACACATTAGTTGTAACTGGAAAAACAAGTTGTTTGCATTCTGCTCGCCGGAATCCAAATTAGGGTTTCAGTGCGGCTACACTTATTATCTGTGTTAATTTTCATCAGAGGTTAGTGTTTTAGTGTAAAAGAAGTGTTTTGTCAGGTGGTGTATGATTTAGTAGTAGTATTTATCCATATTACGCTTGGTAAGTATTATTATTTATGTCAAAATTTGTGTTATTGAAATGATGATTGTTTAGAGGTTATGCCTAGTAGGCTAGGCCTAAATCCTAGTCTAGCCTACAATTGTATGTGTGTCTCACGCCAGAATGAAGCTTCTGGAACCTTTATTTGTTTATATTTCTGTATATATATATATATATATATATATATATATAGCATGTCAGCAAACACATTATTCGAAACACGAATAATTAGTTATATATATATGCTTATATATATATATATATGTATATTTTCTTGTTCAGAAATATATTTCCTACAAATACATGTAATATTTATCATATTATGATAAATTATACTTCTGATTATATTTTTATGTTTCAAATGTTCAGCGCAAATTTGTTGATTTCCCCCAATTTCCGTATTTCCCCCCTTAATTCTGGAAAAAAAAATTATTTGAAACAAATCAATCATATTTCAACGTAGGGAAATAAATTGCCTAGATTTCATATATCTTAGATTGTCTGTAAAAAAATGTGTGTAAAAATGCTAGGCCTTCTTTTGAAAATTGCCAAGCACCCTAACTCTGCTCCCTGCAAAGCCAGTTCCTCCGGGAACCAAGATGCTGGGAAAAAAGCAGGGCGAGGGCGGCACCCCCAAAGCTGACTCTAATGAAGCCTCCAGGAAGAAAGATGGAAAGAGGGGGTGAAAAAAGAAGACGAGGACAAAAGAGGGAGAGGGAGAGGGTGTTTAACAGAGAGCACCGACACCCACCTATTCGGAGACACTGTCTGTGGAGAAGATGGCTATCGCCATATCTGAACACCCGGACTGGAAACGGACGGAGGCTGAAGCCAATAAAATCAAGGGGGAGCTGTCCAGGTGGGCCATTCGTGGCAAAGACGTGAGGATATCCAGCTGCCATCTTTAAGACGGAGCCTTGGTGGTTAGCTGTGCTAACGCAGCCACAGAGGATTGGCTGGTCAAGCAAATTTAGGATTTAAGTCCCTTCAGGGAAATCTCGCTACAGCTTGCCCCAGCCAGAGACCTTGTGAAAGCTGTGAAGGTATCAGCGTTTTGTGATATTTATGTGCCCAGCCCTACAAGGTCTGCGTATGAGATCCCCTGGCCTATTGACGGGAGATCAAAGGGAAGAACAGGTTACCATAGTCAAAAGGTTCACTAAGGACCTGGGATTTGACGGATAATGAGAACCTGTGAAAGAGGGTGCACAATAAGCTGTTCTAGCTGCGATGCAATCCCATGGTCACTTGTAAGCCTGGCCCTCTGTTAAAAAATAAATAAATAAATAAAACAGTACTTTAGACACTGCGAACTGTTAACAAAAACCTCTGCAAAATGGCAAAAATTGCCAGGGTACCGAGCATCAGGTCAGGGCAGTCCTAGTGTTAAAAACTATACAGGGTGTCCCTGAAGTGAACTCTCAACTGACCTTTAAAAATATCATTCCTGAACTAACGACAAACTAAAATATCATGTTAAAAATTAGCAATACTCAAAAGTTACCCGCATAGTCACTATTTTTTTTCATCAAACTTTTTATTTTTCATATCAGTGTTTTGTTGTGAATTGAAATTTAGTAAATAGATTAATAACCCAAGGACCTATTTAAAGGAAAAAATATTAAAATAGGTCTTTGTGTTACCCACTTATCTATGAACTGCAATTCAATTCACCACAAAAAGTCCTTAGGCTACAAATAAAAAATAGTTTTGTGAAAAAATAAAATGGCGGCTGCACAGGTAATTTTGTTTTGGAAATTTTAACTGGATATTTGAGTTTGTCTTTGGTCCAGAAATGATACCTTAAAAGGTCAGTAGAGAGTTTGGGAACACCCTGTATACATGACCCTCTATATACAGATTTCAAGGTCTTAAATCAGAAAGAGAAAAGAAATAATACCCAATAATGCCTGATTTTGGAAAATAATTCATATTTTCTAAAACACACAGGATGTATACAAGCTCTATGGAACACTTTTTTATATTTGTTCCGTAGGTCAAAACAATGAAAAAAACCATATTAACATGGGTCTAAAATACTTGGTTTTTCCGTTTTTCTGAGATTAAAAAAAATGTAATTATAACTTTGAAACCTCTTAAGCGATTGACTTCAAACCTTATACGTAAGTAGTGACAGATAAGGCTAACTTTTCCACAAAGTACCAGATTTATAAGTTCTACCAATACAAAATGGCGACCATTTAAAATTTTCAATCAAAATATCTTAAAAACAAGAGGTTAATTAAAACTATTAATAAACTGACAGGCAGTTTTATGACTAATCCAATGATACCTTATTGTAAAAATGGGTCATTAAACAACTAGGATATTAAATTTTTTGTGAGACTGTGTATGGCCTAGGCCGCCGAACCATCCATTTTGTAACATTCATATTGTAATATCTTTATTATTTATAAATAGATCTTAACAATTAAAAATTTGTTGGATTAGTCATACATTTACCTAAAAACCCTCACTCTTGATTCATTTTAGTAAAATCACTCGTTTTCAAGATATTTAGTATAGAAAATTTTAAATCGATGCCATTTTGTAGTGGTAGAATTATGAAATTTGGTACTTTGTGCAAAAATTATTTCTATCGGTCACTACTTACGTACTAAGTTTGAAGTCAATCGCTTAAGAGGTTTCAAAGTTATGGATACATTTGTGAAAATCACGTATAGACAGACGGACATAAAACCAAGCATTTTTAGGCCCATGTTTGTATGATGGTTTTTTCATTGTTTCAAACTAAGGAACAAACACACAAAAGTGTTTCAGAGAGTTTGTATACATCGTGCATAAAAAGTATAAGCCTAGATTTAGATTTTGGCGAGTAGGCACTAACCTGTAAAAGCAAGTAGCAGCAGAGAAGACCTAGAGTGACATGATGTGTGCGGGTGACTAGACTACAGGCTAAATTTAGAGCTGGCTTGCTGACAGGCACCAGGACATCCATACCTTGCGGTCGCAGAAACACAAGAATATACCAAGTCAAGTACATTACCTGAGCAACCAAACATAACAAATACATATAAATATTTATATTAGTTCAAAATAGGTATATAACTTAAATATTCAAAATGTTCACACCAATGTCCACAGTTGCTGCCTTTCTAAGAGTCTGGGGACCAAAGCACCTGCTTATCCGGATCTATTGGGACCACCGGACACCTCAGCCTAGCAACACCTCCTTTTAGACAGTGTCACTAGGCAGATGACTTGTAGCCTACAGATTGATACAACACTACAATAGATTTGCTGCATGATGGACACATATGGCACACATTGAACAAATTATACGATTTCCCTAATTGAAACCACTATAAAAAAATAGCCCAAAAAAAGAAAAACACAATTTTATTATAAAATATAAAATGGAACAATAGCAAAGTTAAAATCATTTTAAACTAGGCCTATTTGAAAATAAATGTTTTTGTTTTGTATGTATTTTTTTTTTGTATGAACAGTTAGATCAAACCTACCCCATGGACTGGTAATGTGTCCTTTGACAAGTCCTCTAGTTTAGTTGAAAGGCTATCAACCATCATTTTAAGGCATTCTTCTTTGTTGAACTCTTTCAGTAAATTAAACTGTGATACCAAAACTGGTAAGAATTCCCAGATGATCTGAAAACAAAAAATGGCTAAAGAGAACACTTTGAGTCTTGTTAAAAGATGCACATTGTAAAATAAACTCAAATTCATCTTTGCATTAAAGATCCACCATAGATACTCATAAAGAGGTATCAAACAATTATAAAAGGACAACTTTTACACATATTTTATGAATTCTTAGATCTCAAGAGAAAAGTGAGTGAAATTTGTTTTCCGTCCAATAATCATCTTTCCCTCACAATAGAAATTGACTTCCGAGACAACTTTTCTGACAATTGGTTCAGAGTTAGTTTATTCAATTTTCTTTATCATTAAATACATAGTTTTCTTTTGTCATACAGGTACCAAGCTTTATTAGAAAATCTCATTAATCTTTAATTTATAGTTTACTTCAAAAAAAAAAAAAAAAAAGATACTAGCTCTTTTTCATGTTAATCCAGGCAAAATTTTGAAACAACTACAGTAATTTGAACAAGAGTTATTCTATTACAAATCATAATAGATAGACTTCACTTATTTGCCATAGATGTAACGTGATTAGACAACTCTTTGATTTAGGAAAATTAAACAGAAAGTAGCTGATCCACATGATTAGGATGATATAACAATCAAGTTCAACTTCATCTAGGTTTGTAAAAAACTAATCCTATTTTTTCAACCTTCACTTTCACATTACATTTTAGGGAATTTCCCTATAGGGAAATAACTATTACTGTAGGTAGCACGGTAAGCCCTAGACCCTATGTCCTTAGAGGCCAAAAACACTATTTTTAAATTGTTTTATATATATATATATATATATATAGAGAGAGAGAGAGAGAGAGAGAGAGAGAGAGAGAGAGAGAGAGAGAGAGAGATTTGACGTCCGTGAACCAGCAGGATTGGACCTTGGGAACGGGGTTTTATGGGGGTTTAATGGGGTAAAAATTTGGTTTTCTGATTTTTGACCATCAAAACATAATACTTCCTGATTTCTCTTCAAACCATTTCAAAGAGTTTAAAAAAGCAAATAATTTAATATATTGAAGAGTTTTCTATAGTTATTAGTTACGGAGAAAACAAAATTGTAAATTTAAAATTCTCATATTATTCTTAAGTAAACTGTTGTAGTTTGCTTGTTTATGGATATATTTTGATAAAACTTGGTAAATTTATTTAATTATTTTAATAATATTTTAATATTTAAATATTTAATATTTTTAATATTTAATATTTTTAAACTTTTTAATATTTAATATTTTAAGAAAAAAAAACACACTTTGATACACCCTGATACAGCCTCCCTGTAGCAGCAAATCTAGGTACTTGATAAACCTTAAGTTATTTAAACAGATTTAATTCAAAATCCAAACAGTCAAATGGAAATTCGTTTAGTCTGCAGGTTTGCTGCGGCAGGGGTATTTTGATTAATTTTTGTTGTTGGTTCTTTGTCCAAGCCAATTACCTAACATGCTTAAGCTGTTTATGTTTGCACAGGGCTGCTTTATTAAATGAGCCCAACTAAGAGGTTTTAGGTTTGTTGGGGGCACAAGGAAGAGAACAATTTCCCCGCAAGGAAGGGGGGGACGGGACGCCACATGCAAATCACGGGCCTATGTTTAAAGAACAAAGTAGATTAGAAAAAGATTTTTCATACAAAATATAAAATGGAATTGGACAGATAAAACATGCTATTGACACATTGCTACTTCATAAAATTGTTTTTTTAGTGATGAATTCATCCAAGCAAAAAATACTCACACTTCCATTGCTGACAAGTTCAACTATGAACCCAGCTAGAGTCAACATTTTCCTCTTGTTTGCTGGATCCAAAGACGGGTGGTTGCTTTTGAGCATTCTTTCAAATATCACATATTGTTGTTTGACAGACCGGTTCTTCAGTAAATCTCTAAATGATTCGTAGTTGTCTGGAACTATATAGATTTAACTTATTTAAGTGTAATCAAAACTATGAAATTTATCTTCCATGTTATGAAAAATAACATAAAACCTACATTTAACAAGACTAGGAAAACTAGCTATAACAAGTAAGAAATATTGCTTGTATAGTGTGATAAATAACATGAAGATGGTTCATTTTATATTTATACTTAACCCTGAGATCTTTGGATTTTTTTAATGACTATGAATTTTAAACAATTATTATTCATTCATTTGCTCTGTCTTTTTAAGACAATGTGTGTGTATTTAACCAAGGTGTGTATTTTAGGCTGAAAACATGAATGAATGGTGAAGAGAGTTATTTCAGTGAAGCATTGTTGCTAAACAATATCAGCTGTTTCAATAGCCAAGACCATTTATTACAATTACCAGTCCTTCTCAAAATTCAACCCGTGACGTTTGATTGTCAGCTAAGCACTATTACTCAACTACTCAGCTATGCAATGCAATAGGTTAAGTGAATAATCCTAAAACATATAAAATCCTTCTTTTCTAAAATATACACTTGATTTAAGCAGAGTATAAAGATGGAACAAAGAAATATCAATCAATAGCTCATAAACTCATCACACACTTGCATTCCTTTGCAGATGATCCACAGTTGATCCGTCACCAGTTCAAGCTATCTCTAAAATGACGCTACATAACCTTATTATTCAAGAAAAAAAATAAAATTGTATTTCTTAGTTATGGTGTACTAAAATGCATTGTTAAATGTATTGGTTACCTAATGTTTTATTGTCTCTAATATGGTTTGTTTACAACTATGGCAACATTAATGCTAGTTGACTATTACTATCGATACTCCTCTTATCCTTTATCCTCTATCCTTTACGCATTTGTTGCTGTACAGTGATAAGCAATTTTTTAATTAAGTTTGAGGAAGCTGTGTTTTGAACTAAACAGTTTTTATAATTGAGCCGAGGTTAATGATGTGAAAAAATCGTGATTGCACGATATTTTATTTTGTTTAGGTAAAAAAAATCCAAATTAACACATTATTGTATATTTACACAGTATTAGGGTGCTTTATGGGTATATCATATTTTCATACCATATTAGGTTAAGCATGGTTTTCAGTTATCCATGGTCTCCCTCCTCCAAATTACTCCGGATAATCGAGGTTCTACTTTCTACTATAGGTATATTTCAGTACTTACTGTTCAAAACATAAGGTAAATCCAGTTCTTCAATTTCAGCTTTAGTAAGTTCCTCTTCCTTTGTTTTTTCAGGTGTTTTTGACTTGTCTACAATATTTTCACTCTCAGTTAAGGAAGTAGATTCGTAATCTACTGGTGGCATCAGGTCTGTTAAGTCGTCCATCGCACACTCATCACCTGAAGACTCCTCTTCAGACGATTCGTCTTTTTCACTGGCAGAGGGTTCAATATTGTCATTTTCTATAGTGGACATTTTTTTTACTAAAGTTTTTACATCAGAAACATCATTGTGTGAAGATTTCACACGCTTGCATTTTGTTTCTGGTTCATCATCTTCCTCTTCTTCCCCATCTTCTTTTTCACTTTTGTCTTCCTCATCATCTTCAGCATCACTCTCAGAAGTTTCATCTTCACCGTGTTTGCTACCTTCATCATCATCATTCGAACTTTCATTATCATTGTCACTTGCAGCAAGATCATTTTCAGTTAAGTCAGCAGCATAGTTAGAAAACCTAAATCACCAAATTATTTGTTAGGCATAAAATCAAACTGCTTTATAATGAGGGCAGAAAGCCATCATGCACATTTTACATTTTACTTCCAAAATGTTTCGCTGTCCAAAAGTCTCATGCATAAAATGTTTTCCTGGAATTACTCTAGTACTTAAAGATAACTTTAATTACAAAATATAATTTAACATTAGTTCTACAAATAGCATTAAATGTCCAAGAGCGACATTTTTAAAAGATTTTTCTGAACAACTTTTTTTTTATTGTCTAGCTATGAGGAAAAGGCTAACTTAGAAAACATGATATAAAAAATATTAATTTAGCCTATATCATAAACTAAATACACCAACCCATCATCCAAATCGTCCGCACTTTTATGAGAACCATATTTATTTAGTTCTATCTCTCGTAGTTGTTTCAGACGTTCTTTTTCCAACTTTTCAAGTTGTTCCCTGTCTTCTTTAGCAATTTCCTCTTCTGTTTTAAGTCTTTGTGAGGCCTGAAAGAATATTAAATTTTAAATAAATAGTCTTGAATTCATACATACATATACATATATACATATTATGTATACTATATATATTATAATATACAGGGTGATTACTGGGAAACGCATGTTTTTGACTTTTGTAGTACACAAGGAATATCGTTTGGCGACGGCCGGAAGTTGTTGTGGAGGGGGAAGTGTGCAGTTTCAATTTTTGCTGAGATGTGGAACCTTGAGCATCGTACGTTTGTCATGCGTCGATATTACGCAAATGGTGAATCAGTCATTGAGACTTAGCGAGACTATTTGTGCACATTTTAACATTGCACAGCATGGTGCTATCCCTGATCGTAACACGATATTGCGTTGGATTTGGTTGGATACATAATGTTAACACAACTGGATCTTCGATTAAGAAGAAACCTCCTGGACCGACAAGACAGTTAGTACCCCTGAGATAGTTAAAAGAGTTCACCTTGCAACAGTTCAGAGTCCTTGCCACTCAATTCGGAAGCGGACATCTGCTCCAGGACTTCGACCATCCACTGTGAGAAAGATTTTGGTAAAAGATCTTAAATTTCATCCTTTCAAGCTGGCAGTATGTCATCAATTGAGTCAAGCAGAAAAAAGGTCAAGTGTAAAGTTTTGTAACACAATGAGTGAAATTTTAGACAAAAATGACGAAGCAGTTATCCTTATGTGTGATGAAGTACATTTCCACCTGGACGGAGCAGTCAATAAACAGAATTTACAATTTTGGTGTGTAGAAAATTCTGAAAACATAGCTGAGAGGCCTCTTCATAGCTTATGTGTGACTGTGTGGCGTGCGGTCAGTGAAAAGGGGATCATTGGGATTTTTTTTAAGACAACAACGGCAGAGCAGTGACGTTAAATGCCCAACGGTACCTAGAAATGTTGGAAGAATATTTCTTGCCGGAACTGTGCTGTCAACGTTTAGAGACACGTAATGTATGGTTTCAACAAGATGGGGCAACAGTCCATACAGCTCGCATTAGAATGGAATTCCTTCAGCAAACATTCCCTATAAGAGTTATCTCACGTTTTGGAGATGTCACTTGGCCTTTTCGCTCACTGGGTCTTAGAATTCCAGATTTCTTTCTATAGGGATTTTTGAAATCTAGAGTTTACATAAACAACCCAAAAACAATCAGGAACTTAAAGAAGCTATTCGCCAGGTAATCAACGCCATTCCTAGATATATGTTAGCAAAATCCGTAGCAAGTTGTAAGCAACGCCTTCAACACTGTATCCAAGCAGAAGGCGGCCTTCTTAGAGATGTAATTTTTAATTGCTAAATTTTAAGTAATTTTATTCATGAAATTGCATATTGTGTACACTGTTTTTCCACTCATTAATATATTTTTTGCTCTAAAATACCTGAGTACTCGTTATTTGAAAAACATGCATTTCTCGGTAATCACCCTGTATATATGTATATATTTTACCCACGTTTGCAAGTGCAACATAACATGATCTATTGATTTCTTCTATTCCACACAACTACGTGAAACAAAAGTAAAAAGGACTAATTTGCTAATGGAGACCGTGTTTTCATCTAAAAATGATTTAACTCCTTTCTTAAAATTTTTTTAGATTATTGAATCTCCCGCTACATAAAAGGAAAGGTCAGTTATACGTTTATGGACCACAAGAATCATATCCGATACCGATATTCATCACCACAAGAGTGAAGGTTATGGCCCTAATGCAAGAAGTGTGGGTAGAAGTGCAGAAATGGGTTAGGGAGTTTAGCCATGGAAAATGTCCATTTTGGAAAGAATTGTGTTTTTAGTTGGTACCCAGATTTCTCACAGAAGATCGCAAAGGAAAAAGAATTTTCACAGCGATCAATACACTTCCTAACCCATTTCCACACTTTATCCTCATCTGGCGATGAACGTCAGCATAGGTTATGTTTCTTGCGGTCAAAAAACATATCACTGACCAGATCTTGCATGTGGCACAAGATTTAATAATTTAAACAATTTTGTAAAGACATAGCGAAATGTACACGTCAGCTACAGTCCTGCAAATGGTGCCATTCTGCTCACCAATGATGCCAGGAAGCGGTGATGAGCCTTGTTGCCAAACACATATATATATATGTGTGTGTGTGTGTGTGTGTGTGTCTAAAATAAACATGTTACAGGCAAAGTATATAATGCAAGTGTTCTATAAAATCCCAGAAGAGTTTAGGAAAAGTATGAAATATAATAGTAATGATAGGATTTCATACACTTTGACTAGGCATTGTGTGTAATGTAGGGCTGCATATGTACCCTAGACAAAGTATAAAATAAAGATATTTGTTCAAAAGATAGATACCATTTATTTAACAGGAGTGATTTATTTTTTATATGGTTAGGTTAGGTTGATTAATTTCAGGTTAAAGGTACCTGACCCACCACGTTTCTTCAAACGTGGAAGCTAATGCAAAAAAAGGAATCACAAGTATAAAAATATTCTTTGGAATAATGATATATTTTGTATATGGCTAGGTTAGGTTTGGTTTGGTTAGGTTAGTTTAGTTTATTTTAGATTAGATGAACTAATGCTAAACAAGGATACAAGAATCTAAATAAAAATTCCTACAACAGTGTATTTTATACTTTGCCCGCAGAGCCAACAGACATTCTAGGCAATAGAATGTCTAGGCAAAGTATTTAATGAGCTCTATTTCATAAATTGCTTGGTTCATTTTAGGTAATAAAATAGAATGCCTGATTATATACTTTGCCTGTAACATAAATAGTGGATAATATGGAAGGTCATGTGGCAAAAGATTTGGTTATCAAGACTCTGCCTTACAATAAACATAAAACATTACTTGAAAGCAGCACAGTATGCAAGTTTTTTTTACCAAACCTTGTCCTACTAAAATCCTGGATCACAAAGTATCTACAGCTTTTTGTTACTGAAATGTATACTTTACAGAGTTTAATTTATAGTCAATGGAATCAAAGACAGTGTTTAATTTTAGGCTTACCTGTCCATGGGGCTCAAACTTTAATTGACGCATCACAATATCATACTGGTCTTTTTTCTGATTGTTGACCTCTTCTGTATCTTTGGTGGATGTAACAATTACTCCTAGACTTTTCCATTCCTCATCCAACTGTTCTGTAGCTTCCAAAGTTTCTTCCTTGTTTCGTTGTCTTTCTGCTTTGCGCTTCTTTGATTCATTAATTAATTGATCAATCAGTGATTCTCGGTCCTGTTTACTCGTTTTCAGCATTCCACCTCCAAAATGTGCGTTTTCAACAAACTTACCTAAAATCAGGAGAGATTAAATACATTTTTTTAGGAACAGACCAATTTTATAGAACTAAATCAGGTTGTAAGTTTTAAAGGATTGAAACTAAGGTTGATAGAATAATTAATTTAAGATAGCAAAAAGTGATTTAAGCATTGATTATCTGCTTATATAAATAGAGCTAGATTATGTATTTGCTGTGGTAAACAATAATTCAATAACTCTTGACAAAACATATATGTTTTGTATGGCTTTATAATTAGCCAGGATTACAGTAAATTAAATTGTGGTAGACGATCACCACTATCACCTAGACCACAAGATATCCTCACAAATGTGTCAGCAAGCTCAGAAGCCAATCAAAATCAGTAAAAAATACATTTAAACATGATCAAATGTAATTAATGTTTTTAATCAAAGTTAAAATAATGTATCTTATTTTTACTGTCAATGGCCGATTATTAAAAAAAAGACAGCTATTCAAACATAGCCTATTCCCAATTATTTAAGATAATCTACTTTCTACTGCAGCAGTTACCAAACCTCTACAGTCTATCAAACCATCTACATCTTGTATTTTTTTTTTTTTTGCGACCTACCGCCTTCAACCCATACAGGGTGTTCAAAAAAGGTGGGGACATAATTTATGAAGTGATTCCTTGGGTCAAAATAAAGAGAAAATCATGAATACAACTTTTTCCAAAATCACTTTGTTAACCAGATATCCGCCAATTTTTTTTTTTTTTTAACATACTGATTTTTTAATTATTGCATTTTATCTTTAGATTGTTTCTACCCATCTGTGTCTTCTGAGGAAACAAAACTGAATCAAAAGGGTGAAGTCAATGTAACTAAAAACACATATAGTGTGATTGAAAAGTCCTGGAACGGTGTAATATATTTTATAGCATTATAGATAAAGTAATGAGACTTGGTACATCAATAACACCCATAAATGTCTACTCTTTTAACCTCTATTATAAATTTGTTGTCCCTTAAGGGCCCACGAGGAGTCAGATAAAATTCTTAAATATCAGCATAGGTGGAATTTGGTATCAAATTAAAGGTCATATTTAGTAAAAATACAATGCCACATATTCGAACTCAAACAAACAACTGAGTCAAAAATGTCTTCTGACTTTTAGCGGGTCCCCCTGAGGAGGTAACGTATAATAGCATTGCAAATTCAATAAATCTTTTACAGCTGTTATTTTTGACTTAGTTGACCGTTTGAGTTGGGGTTTGCAGCATTGTATTCTACTAACTAAGACCTTTAATTTGATATGAAATTCAACCTTTTAAGAATTTTATCTGACTCCTCGTGGGCTGTCCCCCTTAAGCAAAAAAATAGTATATTACGTTACTAGCCCGGTAAGTGGTGTTTTACCGGGATTATCGTGCGAGTAAAGCAAAGCTTACCGGGCGAGTAACGTACGATACTTTACATTATACAACACAGAAAAATTTGTTTATTTTAAACTTATAACACAATTTATTTAGGAGGTAAAATAAATTATAATATTTTCATGTTTCAAAAAATAAAATAGGCCGTTGCAATTAGCTGTTTATTTCATCAGCTGACTAAGAGATAAAAGTATATCACGTTACTTTTCCGTGTGTAGGCACGGTAAAGGGCAACTTTCCAGCCCTTAACACGTTCACTGATAATGACGCACAAGTGCGTCATCAGTATCAGTCTACCATACCTTTGAGTGTGCCACTGCTCTTCCTCCCTTCATCATCTTCTTCATCGTCACTTCTGGTATCTTCAAAACGTTCAATTTCACTCAGCGTTTGCCCTTTGTGGGTTAAAACTTCACTATCAGACAAGTTAAACATTGCTTTCTGTAAATAATGACATAAAATTGAAATTACATGGAAGATTATAGGTATATTATGACACATTTCAATATACTTGCAATTGCTATGCATGTGCCAGACAAACTGAAGGTTTACCAAAAGTTAAAATGAGTTACAACAAAAAGGTATTTTGCATACCAAGTATAAAACATATTTACTACAATAAACAAATTAGCTAATAATTAAAAAACCAAGACTAGTCAATCCAAACTGTTACCCTAGCTCCTAGTTATTTTATAGTCTAAAGACAATATGTATTTTTAATGTATATTGACTTAACCCTTTCCGCTCGTATGTCGCGGTGGCCGCGACATCCATTTTTGACGCTTCCACTCGAATGTCGCGGCTGCCGCGACATTGTTTTAAACGACTCTAAACTCACTTTATAAAGTGCAGAAATGTTTAAAATGATAAGAAAGACTGATCAATGGTTTTCTCAATTTATTTTAGCTGCCCTTGGATCAAAGAAAACAACCACGAACAATTTAGTTGGCTTTGAAATAAGTTTGGTCGCCGTGGAAACCAAAAATTCCAAAAACTCAAATTTTAGAAATTTACATATTTTATTCATAATAATACAAGTAAATGTTTATGTAATTGATATTTTTTGTTTGTTTTTACATAAGGAATGTAAATAATATTTTTTCAATACTCTAAAAAAAGTTTTATATTTTTATTTTGCCTAAATATATGGATTTTGTAAAAATTTATTTTGCTTTTGTTTATTTATGACCATAGGCTACCAAAAATAAAATTTTAAAACTAAAATTGTAATTTTATGTTTATATTGTATAATAATTTATGCTGAATAAGAATCAATAGCTCAACCTTATTAAATAACTAATATTAGATAAAAAAAAACACTAAAAACCAAAAACATGCCATTTTTCTTTAAATTAAATGCAAGTGTGAGGGAACAGCCATGCAAAATAATTCGAGTGGAAAGGGTTAACCAATGCATTAATGTAAATCTGGCCAAATAAATGACTTATGACTTAGTCCTAATAATTTAGTATTTCCAATGGTTTTGTTATTTTCTTTAAAGAAGAAGGATTAGTGAAAAGATATATTTGATGAATCTTTAACTAAAATAAGTGGAATAGTAATATTTATTTGTAATAACATTTCAACTAAATGAGTTTATTCAAACTGAAGTAACAATTTATCAATTTAAAAAATTGTTCACACATTTTTTTAGCATTACAAAAAATGTAAGATAGCTCTTATCCATACTTATAAGGACAAAATATTGCTTAAAATTGCTTTATTCAAAAGTATGGCTTGTTCCAGGATGTTTACGCAACCAACATTGATTTGATGTTCAGATTAAGAAAAATCAGCATGTTTCATTGATTCACAATCAATATAGAAACTGATAGGGTATTATATAAATGAACAAAGTTTTCAAAAACAAGTAAGTACAATCAGCATTAGAAAGTCAATCTTCTGGATGCAATAAAGAAATTAATGTATTTTACCTTGTTAAACGACCGCATTCTCTCAGCTGCAAAACGTGCCATTATTCGATCATCTTCGGTCATATTCTTATTTCTCTCTCCAATTCTCTGGTCAATAAACTGATTGCTTTTTCCTCTAATTTTATATTCTTGTAATAGTGTGTTCTTACGCTGCAATGAATGATATTAATTTTATAATACTTAATTATTCTTTCACATAATTGATTAACACTTATTCACATGATTACATTGTTTCACTTATGTGCATTGGACACTCTGCTACTGCTCGTGTCATAGCTTAGGCCCTCTGGTGTTGGTGTAGGTATTCCTGAGATGTTAATTTGTACAGTACATGATTTTGTAGTCTACCTCCTACACACATCAATGGACCTCTTCAATGGGAGCTTGTGTTCCCTAAGATTAAATAAATGAATACCATTGAAAATACTAACTGACCACCTAAACAAGCTGAGTAGTCAGCAGAGAAACCTCTTAACAAACAAAAAATGAAACTATAAATGATCAATTATTTGAGATGGGAACGCCAAATAGGTGTGTATTTCCAAATATGAGTGGAGGATGAGTTAAACAAGCCTAGCTCAACATAAAAATAACACTCGCTCTCTGTGATGTTGGACAAAACAGTGCGTTCCTTAATGATAGGTATGATAGGGTCCAAGTTTCTCATAAAAAGTATCACATTGAAGATGAGTATCAGAAAAGGCACCTCAAATCGTTATTAAGACCTTACCTCGTTATGGCACCTTAAGACTTACCATTGAAACATATTCTAAAACCTTATAACATTAACCTTTTTAGGCTACCATTTTATGGGCTAAAATTAAATACATATGAAAGAAGTCATCAGCAAACTGTGCCCACAAAAATGTTATCATAAAGACACTTCTTTAATCAAATAAATAGTTATTAAATAACAATATTAACACAAATTTTGTGTAACTAGTGATCAAAGTGGCACTTTGCTGCACACGAGAGCAACGTTTATACTCGATTGTAGCTCGTGCGGAATGATCTCGAGTGCAGCAAAGGCCTTTTGCACTCGTGTTATACATTATATTTTTCCAACAGTCACTATAAAGCATATAAATAATTAGTCTTTCAAACACGTTTTTAGGTTCAGCTGGCAACACAAATAGGTGCCCTAGAGAAAGTAGTCCCCGGTCCGTATCACTCCGCTATTTTTTCCTCGGCAAGCAATGTGCTCCGCGACTTGAGAAAATAGTTCCGTATATTTTTGTAATTTGCAGTGGTTTCCGCGCCTAAAAAAATGCTTTAAAGGTATTTTCTTGTTTATTAAGATCGTAGGAAAGTTTTAAAAACGTTTAAAAGAAAAGTCCAGAATGTTCAGAAATACCAAAAAGAGAACATAAACACGAAATGACAGGTTAAATCGTAGTTATAATAGTCAATCAGCTGCTCATAGTATTATTATCTTTAAGTGTTGCCAACCTATTTCCAAGCGTACACGGATTACGTGCATAATAGAACCACGCTGTTTTGAGTTGTTTCGTTGGAATCCTGATGTGCGCCAAAGTATAAACCGTACGACAAAGTATAAATATGCAGCAATTAGCAGCTTTCTGTACTATAAACAGTACAAGGAAGCCAACTTTGTCGGGTTACTGTAGGAAAATCATATTTATTTAAATTGTACAGATATACATGAATAGACGCCATTGTATTTCTTAATGAAATTACAAATAAAGGAAACTGTCTATTGTCTAGATAGAAATACACAAATAAACACAAAACACAAACAAGTACATTTATTTACATACATGTATTAATACAATATTTTATCTGTACCAAGGGCAAAATGTAAAAAGTATGTATTTAAAATTAATTATAATTTGCTTTTACTTTTTAGTATGATTATAAGAGGGCTAAAACTATGAGACATGTTTGTACAAATATTGTGTTCCTTTTTTTAAAAAAACCCTAGGTCCAGGCAACGAAAAGGTATAGACGAAAATGTTTGGAACACAATTTCTGACTTCGTAACTTTGTTTAGTAAAGTTAGAAGGTAAACATACCAAAAGTCCCTGCGTTTAGCCCTTGTGCTGTGGGGTAGGGGGGGCTTGAAGGTAATATATCCTGGTTTTTTTTTTGCTAATACCTCGGAAACCATGTGTGTAAGCGAAATTATGGTAATATACAAAATGAAAGCTTATTAAATTACCAGCAAGTTTGTAATTTACTATTTTTCGATATCTTGTATGCGTTTTGTGTTATTTACCATCAAAAGTTTAGAAAAATACATTTTTTCCTTACGCTTTTTGTTCTTTTTGACAAGTAACTTCTTAAACTATGCACCCAACATATATGATGGCGTACGTATATTTTATCTCTATTTCTTGTACAGTGCATATATCAGCAAAAAACATGTTTGTGAAGTTGACTTTTGATTTGATTTGAAGCTCAAAACGCTTCCTCAGTCTCTGGTGTCCAAGGTAGATGTAAGTTATATAACATAACAGGATGAATAACAGGGTTGCCGTGCGACAATTGTTGTCAGGCTAGCCTGTTGCGGCGAACTCTATAATGTTAAAATAAAGTTTTTTGTTGCGTTGCGGCACATCTGTTTAATTTAAACTCATATTTTAATCAGTTTACAGTTGTTAATTGTTATGTTGGACTTGAAATAACTGAACTCCTTAATGGAAGCCACCTATTATGGAAGCATTGGCAACTACGAAATAGTTGTGCTTTAAGCTGGCCGGGTTAAACGATGCCAGTATGTGAGAGAATTGTCAGAAGACAACACTGACTGGTGAAAAATTATTGGCTTAGTGTAAACACCTCAGGCAAATTGCCTTGCCAACTGCCTGAAAATTCAGTTGTCTCCGGGAGTAGACCGAAGATAACGAGCAGGACAACTGGCCTCCGACAATCCCACAATCACATGATGACAACTGGTGAAGACTACTGTCTCACCAACTGGCTCGTGTAAACCAGGCTTAAGAGATTGGAGGGAGGGGGAAATTTGATGTTTTTAATCAAATTTGTATTATTTTATGCATATTCACAGAATTCTATGCTGCTTCTTGATCGTAGGACTACATCGGTGAGATTTTAAGTGTTATGTATTGTATTGCTTAGTTGTATTTAAGTTTGGTTAAGTATTTATTTGTTTGGTAGTTAAAAGGTCTAGTAGTAGGCCTAGTATTAATACTGTGATTTTGATCTCAAAATATAAAATATTTTTGTATTGTTAATAACATTAATTTCAAAACTTTGGATATTCAGTTTAGTTTGCAATACTTTAAAATACATTTGAAGTGGAAAATGGGTTTTATACATTCTCTTATTTTTAAAAACCATTGCTATTTTTTTTCCTTTTAACGAAAATCTCAATCAGTAAATAAATTTGTATAGGACTAACAAAATATCATATAAAGATTTATGATATGAAAATCATTTTATTAATTTAGATGTTGTAATAACTAAAATACCTACTGAAATAAGTTTGATATTTCGCAGCTAGACATTTCGAATAATGCTTAAACTACATTAAAAAATAAATTTAATCTGTTCTGCAGCATATTATCAACATATATTATCAAAATGATATGTAAATCTTTTATAACGTCCAACATTTAAAATTTATTGCTGGGACATAACAACCGGGACAACAGACTCTTGACAACAGACATTTAGCATCAAACTCTCGGCAATGTTGCTGGAAAAAGTAGGATGCGGCAACCTGTTACTGGCGGGCGAGAAACATTGCCGCTACGTTGTTGAGAAACAACGTTGACTTACATCTCAAGTCCAAGGCACAGGAAGTGAGCCCATGTTATTTGCACTACTGAGTAAAGAATGTAAATGTGCTTAAAGATCTGTTTCTTAAGGCAAGAATCTGCGATAGAAATTAATCATGCCTAGGAACCGCTGAAGACCAAACATTTTCTTATGTAGTTGGTATTCCTAAAGAGCAGATATTCGGTCTTGTAGAGGGTAGACACCTGACACTAAAACTCTATATCCTATAAATGTTACTTCGGGCAATGCAAAAACACATTTGAACAGTTTACAATGACACCATAAGAATGTAGTCGTTTGAACAAAGTTCTAAAATGCTCGTTTATGTTGTTCTTTAGCGGATCAAGAAAACACCAGAATGTCATTAATGTGGCTAAATGTAAAATCTAAGTTTAGGTTTACTTCGTCTATGAAACGCTGGAATTAAATGTGTGGCTAGCATTACGTAATCAAAAATCATGAATGGAAACTCAAAAAGACCAAACAGAGTGTGATAGCAGTTTTCCGTATGTAACGTGATGTACAGGGATTTGTTTGTATGCTTTTACTAAATCTATGACAGAAAATATGATAAGCCTGAAAGATAATTCGAAAAATCGTAAATTTGTAGAACAGGATACATGTTAGGTGTTAGTAGTGGTCCGGAACAAAGCACAGTAGTTTCTACACAGTCCCCCCACTTTCTTCTTTTGATACCAGATGTAGGGGTGAAATATACAACTTTTAAATATTTCAGCAAATTTACTCTTTGCAATGGTGAGCTTTTCAGTTGCCAGTCATCATTATCACCAGAATACAGGAGGTCCTGGAGTAGTGATGTAAGAGCCTTATTATGCGCGGCCACTCGAGTGGCGCGCGACCGCAACTGCTTAAAGGCCACTTTTAGCGGGCCATGTTATCATATGGAGCTTATTAAGCGGTGCGACTGCGGTGGCTGGGCAAGCGACAGTCGCCGCGACTGGCCACTCCAGTAGCGCACCCTCGCTACTAGTCGCGAGCCCACGCGACTGTCGCACCCCCAGCGGGCCATGTTATCATATGCTGTTTATTACGCGCAGCCACAGTCGCGGGCATCGGACCCAACTCTCTGAAATCACCTCAGTCCTGATTTTTGTTTCAACATTTTATTATATTAATTGTGTTATCTATATTAAAAAATATTGGTTTTCTTTTCCGAGTCGGTTCGGCTCTTCTACCTGACCGATTTTCATAATTTTGGTCTTAAATTAAAGGGTTCCACGAACAGACATTAGACATTATTTATTTGCACATAACATTCTTTTAGATGTGATAACATATAGAACAGGTGCATTGTCAAAATTGAGCCTACACTAGAAAAATACAAAGTACAAAGTAACAGGAAAAAATACCTAGCCAAATAATGTTAA